AGATAATTGGCACTACAGTGTTGGCCACTATCTTTGGTGGTCGAGTTGTTTTCGGAAATTTATTTGATAGGTAGTATGTTTGAACAAGATGGATAAGATACGAATATGATAATTATAAAGCTCATTTTCGAAACTTCCATGTGAGATACAAGACATTTCTTACGCTTGAATAAATATGATAACGAGTATTGAAAATTTATTATCATCGACTTAATTTAAGGTGGTTCTGTGCTAACAACTAATAATTAATGTTATCTCTTGAATTTTTTGACTTTTGTCGGTGTCGAATTTAGTAAATACAACTTTCTCTAAAATGGTTTACCTTGTCCAGAAAAAACAAATGCTAGCATAAAAATAACATTTTACGATTTTATAGTGTTCTTAATTACAAATAGTATATAATATGTAAACATTGTAGTATAATTATAATAATAATTTTTTTTTTTGATATACTATATATATATATATATAATACAAATTAGTAAAAGTCGGAAATAGTATACAAAATATAACTTGATTAAATCTCTAGGATCAATTATAAGAATTATTAAACTGATAGGATGCATCATAATTGACGGGACGCGATGAAGGATTAGGGAAAGCATTAGGGACGACATTAATGGGCGCGTGAGAACCGTGGGATTGGTGACTAGGCATTCCGTTATTCCAACCATTGCCAGATCCCATTGTTTGATGATGACCTGTTATTCCGTAGTGTCCATCTCCAGTTGCCATTACATTTGAACCTTGATGATAATTGGGGACTCCGTAATGCCCAACTTCGGTTCCTGGAACATTTAAACCTTGACCATTTCCAGGAATTCTGTAATATCCAGTACTAGGTGTCATGGGGTTTGAACCTTGATGGCTAGGAAATCCGTAATTTACTCCTTGTTGACTGTGAGAAATCCCATAATAATCTGTTCCTGTTCCCGTAAAACTTGATACTTGTTGACTGTTAGAAATTCCATAATTTCCACTTCCTGTTCCCTTAGCATTCAGTCCTGGTTGACTGTTAGAAATTCCATAATTTCCACTTCCTGTTCCCTTAGAATTCAGTCCTGGTTGACTGTTAGAAATTTCATAAATTTCACTACCAGAAATACCAAAATCGGCATCATGCGCAAGATCATTATCTCCATTCTTGACTTGTATATTAAAATCATCAAAACTACCTCTCCGACCCTTATTCTTTTTAATATATTTTCTAATTAGTAAAATTATTCCCGCTGCTGATACAGCTCCGACCATTACAGCGGCTATGACTATAGCAATATTTATAGTAGTACCATCAGAATTCGAACTATTGCTCGAAGTAGTGGTTGGTGTAGATTTTGCTGTCGGAGTAATGTATGTGGTAGATGTGGAAGTTATCGTTATTACAGGCGGAGTAATTGTTTGAGATCGCACTCCTAGTTTATTGAAGAGAGTATTTGAAAAATTATGAGTTGCGAAAAAAATATATATAATAATTTGACATAGAATATTTACCCGGTACAATTATCAAACATATTATTGCGCTCCATAAGGATAATATATTTTTCATTTCATAAATTTGATCCATCATATACTCATTTCAAAAACCGAATGCTTACTTCGTGGTTGTTGTGTTACATAGAAGATGTTCGATGCCTCGTGGAATATTTCGAAGAGCAATTCACGGTATATAATTTAGTTCGAAATCCGAGTACGAAACTTAAAATAGCTTGAATTCAGATAAAATTATAATAATTTTTACTTGTTACGGACAGCATGAATAAAAGCTACTAAAGAAAAAGCAATTGGTTCATGTTTATATATAATTATTTCCAGAACTCCCTGACACATTTTCTTTATCTGAAGTATACATCATACCCTTTTTTATCTAACAAGGAATCAAATTCGGAAATTTGACGATGGACAAGACGCAATTATGTTTTTCGGCGTAATATGGCGTAGCAAAGGAATTACTAATACTAAATAATCGTTGTATAAATTCACTATTTTGAGAAAATGTTACATTTTGCAAACGTTATAGGAAAAAATCGAAGTCGATTTCAAACATTTAAATTCTGATACTATATATTAAGAAAAAAATTTTCTTAATCAAGCCATCTTATTTACTATTACATAATATTGTGTAAGTTAAAATCAATATTTTTATATTTTTAAAAATATAAAGTTTAATAAAATTTCTGTATATTTGTTATATTATATTTTATTTTATTGTATAAGAAATTGTATATTTAAAAAAAGCTCATTAAATTTATTTATTTATGAATTTTATAACAATATAAACATTATATAGTATATTAAATTGATATACATAATATATAGTATATATGTATATATTTTTAAGTAATTATTAAAATTTATTCTGTTTTCAATTTTTTATTCTTGATACTTTACAAGTAAACTAATGCTATCTTTCAATATACCTACTATATATTAATTATTTTTTATTAATATATTAATTATTTTTTGTTTTATAAAATAAAATCATTTGTTACAATCAGTATCTCAATAAAAAACTATTGATGTATAAACAAAAAATAAATAAATAATATATTAATTTTATATAACAAATATTACAAATATACTAAATATTATTTTGCAAATAGATTTATCAACAAATTTAAAAACTTTGATTTGATATAAAGTATTATTACAAGCTAAATAAGCAACTTATTAATTAATTAATATGATAATTTATAACTATACTAATTATTATAATTATTATATACTGTATATTGATATTTTAATTTGTCAAAATTGTAATCAATAGAAAATTCTAATTTAATATAAAACAATATTACTGTAAATATAGATAAAATATAATTGATTACAACATTTATAAAATATATTATATCCCTTAAATTATAGAACATTTTTTTATATTTAAATTTTTTTAACTAAAAATGTGTTTCTTATTTATTTTTTTAATTAATCAAAATATTTTTCTAAAAATTTATATAATATTAGTTTGAATTATATATTATTTATTAATAGTATTTGTTTATTATTTATTTAAAAAAATTTTAAAACTTAAGTATAAGCAAAATTTTTAATTTTTAAAATAATTTTTTTTAATAAAAATTAATTTTAAACAAACTTAAAAATTTTTAAATTAAAAAAAAAAAAAAAACTCTTTCCCACTCTCTTCTTTACACTTAAAAATTTTCTTTTGAGAAAATTTTTAAGTTGTTTTCTTTTTTTCTTTACTTTTCTTCTTTCCTTAATACCATTTTCTTTTTTTATTATTCTCTTCTTTCTTCTTCCTTTTTTTTTTCTTTCTCTTTTATAAATCTTTTTTAATATATATTCACTTTCTCTTCTTTTTTCCTCTTTTCCTGTTGAAGTTAGGTTTTTTTCTTCTCTCTGAAGTTTTTTCTCCTTAGGTTTCTTTATCTCTTAAAACTGTTATTTTCTATCTCATCACCTCTTTGGCCAATTAATTTCTTTTTCTCAAGAACTATATTAAGAAAGTAGTAACTTCTTTTATGTTGTGAACCTTAAGAAGTTTTTTATTTTTATAATTTTTTTAAAAAAAAATAGATGATTTACCCCTTCAAAAGATTAATATGGTTATTTACTATATTTGATATTGTTTACTTGTTGATAGTTAGACTAGATACATCTAAGAAGCCACTGTACAATTATTGTTATCTGAACTTTCAAAAAGTTGCATCCTACTATATCCATTTATATAGCAGCCAATACTAGTATAGAATTCTACAAGTGATATATTAGTGTCTGGGATATTTAGTAAAATGATATGTGATAACCAGGTATTCTAGTTATTCTTGCAAACAAAGCTAGTGTCGATAACTGAAATTTCTCATTTACTTCTTAACAATATAAATCCATATAAATAGTTAGATAATAATGTCTTTAAGAAATTTCAATTCAACTTTATCTATTGAACACTTTTGTTACACTTGGAAAATAGGTATACCAAACTTTTTATGTGACTTGGAAATCAACTTGTAAAAAGTGGCTGCAACACCTTCATGTATAAAAAAATCAATTTTTTTCTTCTCTACTTTTTTTGCTATACATCAAGCCAACTTTGAAAAACAAGCATACCAAATCTTACTTATGATTTGAAGACAAATTTGTATATCAGGTTGCAGTGCCTTCATGTAATTGAATATCACAAATCCTCTAGTTTTTTATTAGGTACCATCTGAGATGTGTAGATTTTAAAAATCTTTTTGCTACTGCTTGAATAGTTATTAGAAAAAAATAATTAGAATAAATAGATCATTTTTTTTTGAATTCTTCGTTAAATTTTTTTTAGCAAAAAGAGATATATATTAGCATCTGCACATTTGTAATATTGCTAGTAATAAGTAATTCCTTATAAATAAAAGCTTTGGTTAATAACTGTCCCAATTAAAAAAAAAATTTTTTTAAGTTAAAGTTTATATAATTTATAAGCAGTTTTGTAGAAGTATTTGTAAAGAATAACTTTAATTATTACAATTTTAATAATTTAATTATAAAAATTTTAATTTGTATTAAAAGTAAAATAATTTTTTTACTTTAAATATATGTTAAATATATACAGGGTGATTCAAAATTTTTTGGAAAAAAATTTTTTAAATTAAAATACAAATAATTAAAAAAAATACAAA